TGTTACTATTCTTCAATATCAACCCTGTTCTACCCAATTCCTGCATGAAGGGTTATTCGGTTGGTTTTGACCCCCCAAAGTACCAACTAGATTCACTTTCCTATCAGAAAAGCTACTGTTGAAGAAAATCCAAGCACTTTTACTGTCCTAAAACGTGATGACAGACACAAAAAAAAATATAAAAATATAAAAAAAAACACACATCATTGTAAAACCAATACATTCATCGCTCCGCTCAGAATCTAAAACCTAGAATACCTAACTATTTTAGTTATTTTATTGTGATTGTATAATATTATTCGTAGGTACTTGAAACTTCTAAAGTATACTACTACAATATATCTATGATAGTATCAGGGTTTGTTGTTGGTGTACAACGTGTTATAAGTACCTACCTATAATGGATATTGTGATATACTGATATGATTAATTTGGAATTTATTATAGGTCAATTTTTTGAAATAGGTAAAATAGATGAGTATATAATATGTCTTATACATAGACTGACATACCGTCTCCGTTCAGAATCGTTTTTCTTATACAATGATATTATATCATTGTATTCAAATGTATAATACCATCCATTATGCAGTGACCCACTTGTAACCTACTGTACAGCAGAGCACCTTTTTTAATTTCACCAATTGTTTTACTCATAGGAGCAATTAGATGGGGGCTTGGAGAGGATGGCCCCATCCTAATATTTATCTAGCCTCCACATAATAAGTACAGATACTATGATAGGTATCTGATCGAAAAAATGAAAAATTAATAGTTCTACAGCTAAGAGAGTGGTCGTAGCTTGTAACAAATTGAATATTGTTGGGATCCCGGGGGTCAAAATTTAAAATTCTCAGTACTTTTAAAATAATGGAAAATAGAGAAAGCAAATAAAACAATTTGGGAAAATACTAAAATATCTAAGCAAAACCAGTTTTTGAAAAAATTATTTTTGTTGTGAACTCAAAAAAGAATATCTAACTCTAGAGACTTGACATTTACACCGAATATTCGTATTATCAATTGCCAATGACTATTATTATCTAAGACTTTTTAAAAGTTATTTAACAAAAGTGGGTATTTAAGTGATGGTATTGCCCCTAGGCTCTGAGTTTCTTAATGACTTTTGGATGGAGAATGGACAATAGGTTATAATTAGATATATAGTATTTTAGTAATAATTATATATATAGGTACCTATATGCAGTGGCGTATTTTGAAATTTTTTGTGGGGGGGGTCTAAATATTAGGTACCTACAAGTTTATAATATAAAAAAACACATACCAGTTACGATGTAATAATTATATTATATTATATTATATTTTTTTCTGGGGGGGGTCCAGACCCGGGGACCCCCCCCCGTAAATACGCCACTGCCTATATGATAGTAATTTTTAATACCAATACATTATTCAATTATTGTAAACACGGGTTTAATTAGGATTTGTTTTCAAACATTTATAGTGTGGGGGGTTAGCAGGGCCTTCACTTAACGACCTATGTTACTGTTCTGACCATAGAGTAATTAGATTAATCTATGGTTTTGCAACCCCCGGCCCCCTATCTTATGAACTTGAAATTACTGAGCATATGCCATATTATATCTTCAAAAGTTAACTCAATAAACATTATAGCCACAGCTCCATAGATTCACACAATCACAATATCGTCTCATCTATTGACGCCCACTGCAGTGTAGAGTTGAAGCCTGAAGGCGCCATAGTGGACATAGGCGCAAATAGCGTTTGGTACTTGGGGGGGGGCCTTACTTTGATAATATTGAATAAGCTTAAAACGAAATGTAGGAAATGTTTGGGGGGCTATGGACATATTTTTGGGGGGCTTAGCCTTTAAAGCCCCCCTCCCTTATTTGCACCTATGCATGTGGGTACTTAATTGGAGGTATTATATATTTTGTAAGTAACATGTTTCCATAGCCCGCATCAAGGGCGTCCGCAGGAATTTGTCAAGTGGAGGGCAAAATATTTTCCTTTTTACATTTTTTGTCTCACTATCCTATTAGTTATGAAGTATTTTACATGTTTTCTTTCATATAGACAAGGAATGTAAAAATATTTATGAATTATGTATACGTAAATAGTAAATTAAAACTTACTCATACAGCATTAATTTTAATTGATTGTTATGTAATTTTAAATTATCAAACACATTTTTTTTTAATAAATAAAATGTTACCATTGATTTTATAATAAAATTATAGGTAATTTATAAAATTAAATATTTCTAGCTTATTCCATTGATATCACAAACTTGAAAAGTTGAAACTATTGTAGGTATGACATCTATGAGCATTTAATTTTTTTATCAAAAAAAATTACAGCATTGCACAAGGTCCAACCGACAACCACTACATCTTATAATAATCTATGAAAGCAACGTTCTTAGTTCATAATTGAGTGTTGTAAAAATCACTCTGTAAAAAATATAAAAATGTTTTTATTTTTAATTTAAAAAAAAAAGTGGGTAAGTGGATGTCGCTCTGCTGTACAGTAGGTTACAAGTGGGTCAATGTTTAAAGGATTGTATTAAACTTGAATTCAATGATATAATATCATTGTATTTGTATAACTGTATAAGAAAAACGACACTGAGCGGAGACGGTTTGGCAGTCTGGGTATTGTTATTTTTTACTACAACCTGTAAGTTGAATTTATATTATAATAGGTAGGTATTATTATTTTTTATGGTGATACACAATGCGTTAGAAATAAAAATCCCATTTTTGTGGTTTTTTGTAATTTGTCGGTGGTTTTTCCTGTGTCATTAAATAACTACCTATTGAGAAAATCAAAAAATTACCTCTTTAAAGTACCATCTTGATCCAATTATCTAAAAGATAAGGTACTATAGGTGGAAATCGAAGTACTCCTTCTGGTAGATATTTTGTTTACAGGATATAAAAAAAAATTAAATAAACCATTGTAAAACCACCAGCTTCCTCGCTTCGCTCAGAATCTAAAAGTTTATTTTGCGATATTTTATATTACAACTTTAATGATTGAGGTTGCGATGCACTTTGCATTGTTTTCCAAATCTAGCTACGCGATACTTGTCTTATAACATACCTACATTGATATATTTTTTGGCGATTTTAAATTTAAGGTCAGTTTTTGGAGCATTTTGAAGTTTTTTCTAAATTTAAACTTTGAATGTTCATTTAAAATATGCACATATTTTTACATGATTTTTATAATAAATATATGATCTATAAAGTATAAAGTCTAAATCTAGGTATAGGTATAGAAAAGAAATAGTTAATTTTAAGATTAAATAAGTAGTCCAAATGAAGAGTTCTGTCTATTAAACTTTTATACAATCATTTAAAAGTCTAAAATGTATATAATAATTTATACCGAATTTATTTTAGTACCTATTTATATCTTTAATATTAAAAATAAAACTAATTTAGTACACTATTTAAAATTGTTAGGTCACATTTAAGTTTTTTTAAAACATTAAAATCATTAAAATCATCAATAATATTTATGATAGTCAACCCAGAAAAAGCTAAGGGGGCGGGGGTATTTACCATTCATATTATTATCATTATGTTATGGTTTATTGGGTTATACAAATATACAATTATACATTAGTACATCAACTTCATGGTGTCACATCAGTCAACACCGTCTTCGATCGTGTAAAGTGCATCATACAATTCTTGGTATTAGAATATTATAGATAACCATTATAATATTTAGTATTTACTTAGATTTTAAAGTCTCAAAATCGTGAATCGGCCCTCATTATACATTATACAATGATAATATAATATATTATTCACTACTCAGTTTAATAATTATTATACTCGCCGTGGTTTAGTATTCTACTTTCTGCACAATAACAGTAACTTGAGTAATGAGTAAAATTACTATTAAAGTGTTAAAAGTAGTGGCTGTAGTGGCCTACCTATCTTATCTTAACGATATATTTACTATAAATTATAATTGCATAATATAATATATTGTAGATACTACTCATTAGGTCATTAGATAGGTATGTTATAAACTTATATGAATATTGTACCTATGTCATAGAATTTCGTCAATAATACATGAGAAAATAGATAATTTTTTTCTCATGCTCTTAGATACCTAGTTGGTTTACTTAGAAATGAATGACATATTGACATACATGAATCATGATACATTATACAGTAAAGTTTTACATTATTTAATATTTATACATATACTATAATGATATAAATTCTTTAAGGTGATGCTAATATGCTATAATAATTATTATCTATGATGTAATCAGTAATCAGTATTGATGTTTACATTAAAAAATTTAAAATAATAAATACACTGGAGATGTGTCCGAAACAGCTGATAACGATTATTATAATATTTTAACACAGATTACATGACATTTTAATAGTGTATATATATCATTATGCTCCTGTCGACTAACGATTTCGAATAAAAACATATGATGATATTATAATTTATAATGTACAGTAAAGTAAACAATTTTTTTTTTATAGTAAAGTTGTACACAGACACAGTACGCCGTCTTACGTCGAACTCGAATATTCAAATACTCGAATGACGAATAGTCCACCAATCCTACCTCTACAACTGTCACTGAATAAATATTAATATTATTTTGTGCAACTGCCCGAGTGCCGTAGTGGTGCACTGGTGCCGTTCGCCGCATTATCACTTAGTTAATAATAGTAATAATAATATTCAATTAAATCTAATTTTCATATTTATTTTTTAATATTAAATTACTAAACCGTAAAGGGTAATAAAGTAGTTGTATAGTTGCGATTGTCTGATAGATTGCATGTCACGAAGTGATCAATTTTATTATTTTCGTAGTCGTACTGCTGTCAAATAATGATGTGATATCATTTAGCATTGTCGAATGTAGATTCGCTGTAGTTACTTAGTAAGGTATAACTATAGTTATTCGTCTTGTCGTTTGAACTACTATACTTGTAAGCAGTGCCTATAACAGTATTATACACACAATGTTGGATTTACAAGAACCAAAGTCTAAAAAACCAGCTGGTGAGTTTTTTAAAACATTTTTCACAGGGGTTATTAAGTAGATATTTGCACAAATTTATATTTTACTGCTTGGGTATTATTACAGATACAGCATTCAAACAACAACGGCTGCCTGCATGGCAACCAATTCTAACGGCACGCAATGTAATGCCCATATTCTTTGCAGTTGCAGCAGCATTTATTCCAATCGGCATAGGTTTACTATACCTTACAAATCTGGTGAGCAATTTTTTATACCTATGTAAGTTTCTATATAAACCTAATTGTATTTTAATATATTTTTAGGTTCAAGAATTTACTCTCGATTATACCCAATGCAAATCAATTGATGATCCGAAACAGCGATCTTGTGCAGATATCATTGGTAGCAATCGTAACATGTCTTGTCATTGCAGTATTCCATTTAAGTTGGAAGAAGATTTTGCTGTATGATATTAGATTGATGTATAACACTATGGTTAATGTTATTTTAATGTTTAAACATGTCTTATTCGTACTTTGTATAGCCTAATGTTTACATGTACTATGGATTAACCAACTATTATCAAAACCATCGGCGTTATGTAAAATCAAGGGACGATTTTCAGTTGCTTGGAAAACTAAGCAAAACTCCATCTAGTGACTGTGCTCCATATGATTATCACAACAACAAGCCAATTGCCCCTTGTGGAGCTATTGCTAATTCATTATTCAGTGGTATGTACTAATTTACTATTCAATAATCTTTTTTACATTTATTGTTGATTTAGAGTACTTACCTATAAAGAATGTTTCAAATGGCAATAATTGTTATTTCACCACCATACAGAAAAATATTCTTGCAACTCAACGAATTAATGGACATCACAACACAAATTTTTTTTTTTAATTTTAAGTTTATTTTTGTATTATGGTAAACAAATGAAAATACATTTTGGTGAAAATCTTAAGTTAAAAAATGATTTTTCAACAAGATAATGAGGGATCCATAGAGCTGACAAATGAGTAGCCACCATATTTTACATATAAAAAATAAAAATTGATTGATTTACACAATGATTTTAATAACTTATGATAGTATTTCAAAATTTTTCATAATCCTAAGTATATTTATGTGCTTAAGACGATGATGTGATTTAAAATGTAATATATCTTGTTATTGTATACATATTATAAATTATAATTTAAAGTATTTAGTAATATTAATGTCATGATGTCACACTCATATTTTCAAACGCCTTTACCTCATTGAATAATTAGTGTTAAAGTGTGAGACCCATACCATATATCTAAGATTATGAAACTTTAAATCTTAGCAAACTTGTTTTTAGTGTTATGTTGTCCTTTAATGAATCTATTAAATAATTTTAGCCATTTAGACCATTAATTATATTATTTTTAAATATTTTCTAAATTATTAGGTAACTAAATCTGAGTAAATCGTGTTTAATATAAAAAAAGTATTATTTAGATTTTCAAATACATATTATCACAGAATAAATAATAATGTTACATTATATTCTATGATATTATTACATCAAACAATTAATTTTAAAACTAATGTTCAATAAATTAAATTATTTAAAATTATACAATATAGTTAAAAATTCTTTTTTTTATTTCAGATAACTTAATATTGATGTACAGTGAAAGAATTGTTCCATTGCTTCGAACACAAATTGCTTGGAAATCTGATAAAAGTATCAAATATCATAATCCAGAACATTCAGAAGGAAATTTGAAAGAAGGTATTCTACATAATCACTTAATATAGACTGTTTTATAGTTTTGATATAAAATAATTAGAAATCACTAATTAGTAATAGCGGTGGACAAAAACATTTTGAAACAGCACATCCATCCGTACTACCGATAATCAGTACCTCATAATATTTAGTGCATGTCAAAGTGTTATATACTTTTTAGTACTATATTATATAACATCATTGTTTCAAGAAGTAAATAATATTGCGACAAAATTATCTTACTTAACAACATCCACTTCAGCCACTATTTTATAAAATATTCTAATGCTGTTAGAAGTTTTTATTCTTATGAAATTACTAATGAAGTAATGAATAAGATAATAGTGTTGAAATTATACATTTTTTGAGAAAAAGTCATTGAAAATAATATGTATAATTCAAAAAAAAATACATTTTTTATTACTCTGTTAAATCAAATATTAATATTAGGGTATATAAATAAGTGTTCTTGACTACTCATACTTATTATTATTATTACTATTATCGTCTCTGTTAAGTGAATCAATTTTCATTTAGGATAATTTCTCCTATTCATTTTTAGTTTATTGTCTTTGTAGCATTATGTATATTCTATAAATTAAGAAGAAATATTCACTTGAAAAGAACTATGTTGAAAGGAAGCGATTAATAAAGTAATCCAAACAGCGTTAAGTTGAATTAATAAAAAGATTTTTAATACAGTGATTAATAAACCATATAAATCTTTGCACTCAGAAACATATATCGCCAACGGGTCGCATATCTCGACTGCCATAAGAACTGTATTATAATAATACTATAGCTAATATTTCTAACTGCCGTATACACACAATATTGAAAATATGTCAACTCTGCATTTTCCCTTTCCTTACACAATATGTATAACTATATAGCTAATCTACAGTATGAGAATACTACTTATTGTATACAATCTACAGGGTAAAAACTAAATTATAATTTAATATTTCAACAAACTTTTTGGAAGGAGAAATGTGTTACACCAACAAAAATAGTCAGGGCAAAATGTGCAATTATTGGTTAGATATTTAAAAATTATAATGTTGATATTGAACAATATTAATTTCAATTACATTGTTTGTAATAAATAATAAATAATTTGTATAAGTTTAATACACTTACAATAAAAAATAAATAAACACCTGTTATAAGTCACATAAAACACTTTTTTTCCGTATTGATAATACCTAGTATAGTGGCGTGCAATTTGTGTGATAATAATTCATTTTTTCTATTGCTATGAAGACTAGAATAAGAAAACCAAACTCGTATGGCTGCCCACAAAAAAATGCCCCGAAATGAGTCACACAATTAAATGGCCACATGTTACTATTTTGACCCGTGTAATATAGAGATTGAATGGCCGAGCAGATTAAGGTTTTGGTTGCGACACTCACCATTGCCGGTTTAAACTCGGCCACAGGGGACATTTTTCTTTGTGCAGTCATGGTGTCTGGAGAGTGAGGCCGCCATCCCCCCATCCAGGCATGGCAGATACCTATGGGTGCCCACTTAAAAATTCTGCCAAAACAAACATATGTGAACACAGTATGTCAACACACATATGTTCAAAAACCTATAGTACCCTCCCCACAGTTCCACAAGCTAACGACCACAGTTGTCAAAGCCTCAACCAAAAAAAAAAAAAATTATAGAGATTATTTGTTTTTTTTTTATTATTTTAAACCATAACCGTTCCTAAATTATAAATCTTGTACGATTACACATTTATACATGTGCATGTGAATATTTTATAAATATTTTTTTTATTATTTCGTAAATAATTAAATTATACAAATTTCATTAACACTATAATACTATATCTAGTTTTTTTATACCTATATATCTGTGTTCACAGTAAGTCTGAGGTCGATACTATTTGATAGACCAAAAACATGTCTCATCTTGAACGATCGTTTTATACCAATTTGTATCGATACATTCAAATTTGTTTCTTAAGAATATTGAATGTTCATGAAATATACACATATATACATGTACATAATACATATATATAAATGGGTAATCTAACAAGCTATAATATAATTTAAAAATGGTCAATGTTCAAAATAATTCATATATTTTCAGAAAAAACATGATAAATCCCTATATTATACGGGTTGAAGTAGCAACCCTAGTGACTGCAGTGCAGTCTGTGGCTGTTTAATCGTGTGACTCATTTTGGGACGTTATTAGAAGCAAAGTTTGGTCTCCTTGTACTAGTCTTCATGGCTATAGCCTTAATATTGTTACTGCACATTTTGATAGACAATTTTTATAATTTATGTATAAAACATTTCACAGTACAACTTGTAGCTTAGCTCTATGTAATTTTGTGGTATAAGATCTCTAAAGAAAATAAGTATAAGTTATGGCATTTTTTCTAATTTTTAACTTGCAACAATTATGACATTTTATGTTTCGTAAACAATGTAAATAATAAAATCATTTATACAGTATCAAATATTTTATTTTTAGCATTTAAAGATTTTGAAAAACCAATTGACTGGCGTGTGAATATATGGGAATTGGATAAGGAAAATGAATTGAACAATGGTTTTGAAAATGAAGATTTGATTGTTTGGATGCGAACTGCAGCCCTTCCAGATTTTCGTAAGCTATACAGGCGTATTGATCATTCCAAGGAATTTAAAAATGGATTACCTAAAGGACATTACAAATTAGTCATAGATTATAGTATGTTTCATGTAATAATAAAAAAAAAACTGATTCACTAATATAATAATTATACAATTTTTAGATTATCCCGTAGCAGGCTTTGGCGGAACAAAAAGTTTGATACTATCCAACACTTCATTTACAGGGGGCAGAAACTTATTTCTTGGATATGCTTATATTGTTGTTGGATGTTGCTGCTTTTTATTAGGGTTATTGTTTTTAATTCTTCATATCAAATATAAACCCAGGTATGTTAAAATTAAAAATGATATTATACTTAAGCCTTTGTCTTCCAATTATTTACATTCATTTACTGGATAAATATATAAATGCTGTTTAAAACTTTAATTATATGTCTATTATCAGATTCCAGTACCTGGTGTTGAATTTCTAGTTAGATATTGTTGAATTATTGATTTTTGAATAAATAAGTTTAAAAAATGTGTGTAGTTAATATTTATTGGAATGGTAAAAATTGTACACAATAAGCATTTTAATAATATTATAATTTTTACATATTATGTAAAAGTGCAGAAGAAACATGCCCTTGACCATATGGCAGTTGATTTACTATAATAAACAACAGCCACATATTTTGGTGATATTTTCTATAGATCAGGTATAAATCATATCACCGAGAGAATATGACTATTTCACTAGTAGAAATGAGAGTTCTTTTTGTTTTGTGTGGTGGGAGGTCGGACCGCCTTAGTAGGTGGTGTTGCAGTAAGAAACTAGTAGCTACTAGTTTTGGTTTATGTGCACTCATACTCTTTCGGTTGACAGATTATACAGCAGTATACTTTAAATATATTGTACAACTGTAGTGTATAATATGTATGTACTGTTCCATGCTCCATTTAGTTTAGTGCATACTCTCTGTATCTAACAGATTTTTCAGAATAATTTTTAAATTAGATGAACTATTATTTTATTTTAAGTTTATGATGAATGATCATTCGATATTGTAGAGATAGTGCTAAGCACAAAACCTTCATCCTAACCTCCTTTTATGCAGTATTCAATAATAAAATACATTTTATTGACATTTTTTTTTTGTTTTCAGTGCAAATACAGGAGATATAATCGTTGTTTCGCCATCAACATCTTATCAGTGATTTAGTATAGTTTTTCCTTATTAAAGAAATAATTCCTTGTGTTTTTTGCACGTACAAAATATTAAATTGGGCTGTGCTTCAATTAGCAACTAATGAGCTTTATAAGACAATGTGATATGTATAAAAAAATCATAATTTAATAAAATTTATCACAATTATATAATCACAATTGACCAATATCTAATTTTCACTAAAATGTACTTATAAGTTAAACTATAATAGGAATTATTTTAGCATAAAATATATCTTATCTATAGTACATATAACACCATATAACTTAAATCAGTTTAATCCGATTACCATTATTCATTTGTATTATTATATATTACGAAACACTGTCACTGAAATAAGTCTTGATAATTTGTTAAAATTTGTTATAATAATAATTTGTTACCTTTATAAAACATCGTTGAGCTTTAAACTATATATTTGCACAATGTTTTAATGTAAAACTAATAGTAAATAAGAATTTTAATTATGTGTCTAGTCATAGGGGTTAACATTTGTTAGCTGTTCATAAGACTTAATTTTAGAACAATATAAGCTTGAAGCTTATTTTATTATTTGTTTACACTTAAACATTAAACAATAATAATATATGTATTTTTTGATTTATTTCTTATTTTGTAGTCAACCTTCTATTGTTTTGTACTTTTGTGCAGATAATTTTTTATTTATTTTAAATTGAGTCGGTTTGTTAATAGCAAATAAAAAAACCGCTGGGGTCTTGCATTCATAAGTCATTAGAATTTTAAACATTTTAAAGAAATTTTAGAAATTTTCAAAAAAAAAAAAATTATACTAGCATTATATTTTATTAACTTATTGCTTAAGGCCAAAACATGAATAAATAATTTAACAAATAAGAAAACGGGGGAAGTTTCTTATAAGTCATTGCATTCAAAAAACGATTCTGTGCCATAACCATCAATTTATTTCTAAGGATATTTAATATTACTATTAGGTTTAACTATTTTTTGGTAAAAAACAGGATATATTAATATATGGTAATTTATTATATTATATTATTGTTATTGACCCACTAGCAAGTAGCAGTCCCGCTCGGTGTTGCCTGTGCTGCTGTACTGAAGATTAAATTTGTTTTTTTTATATTAATATACTCAAAAAAATGTATGTTATGCCATAGGTATGTCTACTAATTTTATTATAATAGTAATATAATGCGTAGCTAATATCAACCTGTTCAATCATATAAATAAACAAAAAAAAAAATGTTACTTCGTGATTTGAAAAAAACCCTCAAAGTCTTAAGGAATCTATTGATATAACTTTTATTGAAAACAGTCTGTAGTTTTTGAGTCTTCGGGGATAAACCAATATCAATTTTTAACTGTAGGTACAACCCAAATTTGCCAGAGAAAAAATGAAAAGATATCAAATATAGTGCTATACAGTTCAAAATAGCATTTCTAGCTAAATCCAGTATGTACCTATACCCCCCATGTTGGGTTGTAGTGCACTGGTGCACGTAAACAACTTACTAAAATATTACCTATATGTAAAGTCGTAATATACGTGGAGACGTAGGGTTATTTATATACATGATATAATTTTCAAAATATATTGACTCTTTTTGAGTTATTTATAGACATTTCGGTAGAAGAGCACGAAGCTCACGCTCGGTTTTTAGTAGATAATAAATTGTGATTTTCATAACAGATCTTAGGTTTTGGAATTTATATCATCTGGATCCAAGACATTATTATTAAATTGCCCCTAAGAAATGTAGTAAATGCAACCTAAATACCTAATATAACTGGTATTAAGGGGCTTGCAATTTGCATACCGACCGTTTCTAAGGAGTTCAATGTAGGCAATTCTCTATTAAAGTGCATGCGGGTCGTGTAAATGTGGTAAATGTGTGCGTAGTAACTAGTAAGTGATCATTAGTGTGAGTAACTGTGTATAACATAAATAGAGCACACCCGCACGTGCATGCACATGTACATTTTAGTGAAACACTGAAACTTAGTTTCGTATTTCAAATACTATAGCTTACTGTGTGACATAATAGTATGAACACCTATTATACAAATTGAAGAGAAGAAGTTTATCTAGGTTCGATATTTAACTCTAAAACTATTTTACCTTTTGAATTTGAATTATTGAGTTTAGTTATTAAAATATCGAAAAGTGACTCGTATACAGACATAGATTAACTTCTCTTCTACAATATTGATAATAGGTGTATTTACTCTTAAACCACTCAATAAACCATATTATTGGAAATAAAAAAGTACATTTTCATAGAATTTTTCAATAGGTAGGTACTATTCATAGTTCATACCCCTTAACCACCTCTATTATCAGTGGTATAGAAACTCACTATGTATTTCGGAGCTAATCAAGATTTTCAATAAAGAAATTTGAGTGTATTCGATATTCGATAGGTACGTATAATATAGCGTATACGTATGAGCGTTAAGGAAGTTACACGTGCAGTATATATATATATATACTTATATGCAATAACCAATAGCGATATACGTAGGTACTAACTCGTATACGTCACACTATTCCCTGCAGTTGATAAGTATCAAATTTTCTTCTTGAAAATCTTGCATTATTTAAGATTCTGAGCGGAGCGATCTTAGTGATCTTACAATTACCTACATGTTTTTTTTTGTATAGGTAGACGAAAAGTAGTGCTTAGTATTGTTTTTCACGGATAAGGTGACCACAGTAATAGTGGTCTACAATCTTTGTCGCTATAAAAATTAAGAAGTGTGGACCGTATATAAATATATTCTCTTGTTTATTTAAATTAAAGGTAGATTGCAACCTTGCTCTTTTTAACTAAATATAGGTAATACTTTTAATAATAATTACAACTGCAGCCTGGTGCTCCGGTTGGCATATAGGTACCTAAATAATAAATAAAACAGAATAAATAGCTGACTTTGAAGCCCAACATGTAAATAAAATAAGTATAGGTAATTGCCTTGGAGGCACTGACAATTTTATAATAAGTTTACACTTTACAATAATATTAAACGGCCTCAGATGGCTTTAGTAAAATATAATATTTATAAAATATGTTCAAAATATATAGGCACAATTTTCTTTTATATGCATTTAAATTTTCAAGTTCAAATTTTGACAAAATTTGAAATTTAAAAATTATTTTGTAGATCAAAATATATAAAATGTTCAACTTTTATAGCTAAGGATTGAAAATTCAAAATGTAAAATAAACTACTAAGTTACACGTGAATAGGTTATTCTGTAACAAAAAAACTAAAAAATATAAAACACAGTTAATTTGAGTTATATTATGCTCGACTTTGGACGAAATTAGATATTTAAACAAAGAAGAACTATTTTAGTTATATGTTATATTTAAAAAATATTATTCGTGGGTATTTGAAATGTCTAAAGTATATTATATTATGTACAAATATGATAATATAAACAACTAACAAGTAATAATAATTCAACTTAACCGTCTACCGTATAAATAATAATTAATAAGAAATTACAGTATAAATACGTACAATATAAAATATCCTAGGCTGACAAACCGAAAAAATGTAACACCATCCATTACAGTCACCCACTGGCCACTTGTAACCTATTGTACACCAGAGTGATACCCACTTACCCGGTTTTTAATGTTAAGAGTTCATTATTATTAATTATTAATTGTTTATTATGTATTTTTTATGTGGCTTTATTTTTCAATTAACAATGTATGCATTATACTGCCATAGTGCCATTACTATACAATATAAAAATCAATTTACATAAACCTATTTAATATACTACTACCTATACTAATTCACCGAAACTGTATTTTTTGTGGAATAAACACTCACCCAATAGGTAGGTATTCTCCCGAACAGACCACATTTTGGATCGATCCACCCAAACGGTCTACTCCCAATTATAGGTCTTATATGAATTTATTGTATTTCTTTATAATATCAACACGTATTTAGTACATATTTTTCAATTCTCAACAGCAGAGAGCATAATTTGATTGTCTGAGTAACGTATCCTAATATGTATACCGAGTAGGTACCTACCGACTTATTATGAATATGAATGGTTTTTTTTTTAGTCCGAAGATCTTACGTCTATATACAGGTATACTGTATATATTTTAATGGTCCAATGAAATCAGTGAACCCAAGAATCAGTTAGAATGTTCCCTTTCCATTCTTGACGCGTATTGTTAAAATAACTGGTTTCCTGTTACTTGTGCCAGGTAACGTGGGTTAACGCCCACTACTATTGCTAACATAACCAGACGTAGGTATACATGTGATGTCATAGAAGGTATAGAAGGCTGCGGTGTATACTTTTACATTCTTCATGCAGTCCTTTACTGTGTGTCCGTATCCCGCGTATGTGTAAGCAATGAAAAAATTATTACATCTGTGCAGTTTATTGTGTTATATTTAGTAAAAAATTGTATGTTTAATTTGACGATTATAAATTAAAACCGAAGAAACATGGGTAAATAATATTGATTTTATAATTTTAGATTAGTTTGTATTGTTAATTTTAACAACCTTAGTAATATTACGCTTGGAATTAAATAAAAACAATTTACGCATTCAGCTATTGTGTGGGTAATATTATAATATAATATTATTCTTTAGTGTATAGCTTCTATGTAGATATACGCATTGCATAATTTCATATATATATGTATAAATTATAACTATTTTAACAGTAAACACTCATTACTCACCAAGTATCTCAAATTACTAAGTATATCCTATAATTGCCTATTAAAGACAATCTTTTAATGATCATTTTTAAAAAGATATAGGAAAATCAATATACCTTATTTGTGTTCCGTGTTTTTATAATTGTATTGTTATACATTTTTAATCACTAATCAATAATAAGTGCATTTTAATTTTATATATTCCGAATTAGATTTTTTTTTCGATTGATTCTGATGTAAGTACAAATAATTAAAATATACAAACGATATTTTTAAGAGCGTTTTTAAAGAATGTAATACGAACTTTTCGAGAAAATTACTGATCGTATGTTAACTTAAATTAATCACCGTTTATACAAATGTCTAGTGTATAAATTTAAGTGTACACTGTACAGTTGTATAGCTGTAGCAATAATATTTAGATTTTATAGTATTCTTCAAAAACTAGTAAGGGAAGTGACGTAAGAGTGTAATACACATACGTTTAAAATAATACAATATATAGAAATAATTATAAATTATTAAAAAAAATATAATAGTATAGTATAGCTGCAACGATAACGCACATTATATTATACCTAATAACTATGTCCTATATGCTATATAAGTATTCAGTGTTGTAAAAAATACTTTTAAAAAGTATTTGAGTAATTACTCAAATACTTATAAAATAAAGTATTTAAAATACCACCCAAATACTATCTATTGTAAAGTATTTGAGTATTACTCAAATACTTTTTAGAAGTATTTGAAATAATTTTCAAATACAAAACAAAAAAATACGTACGTATACGACATACCTTAGGCTTTGCAAAAGAAAATTTAAAAAAAAAATCATTTTTTTTTCTAATCCCAAGTTGTATCAAACTATGTCAGCTGCTTCAGAATATGAAATTAAAAATGTATTTTTTAAACGTTATTCAAAAAAAGTAAAAATCTTTAAAAAAAAGGAAAACAATAAAAATAATAAGAAATTGTAAATTTTACCTATATTTAAATGTTTGCAATAATGCAATCAAATTACGTAGAAATATTATTTAAAAAAAGTTAAAACTTCAAAATGAAATGTAGACACTTAAATGAATCACCCTGTTTTTGTTTAAGGTTGTACTTGGATTTCACAAACCTACACAAAATATAATAATTATACTACCCACGTAAACAAAATAAATTCTTAATAACTATCATAGCGACTAAAGTCGTAGGTATTATTATTAATAATTGCCACCTGATCGTCTTATTAATATTTCACACAATTATCTGGTATATACCTACTACATTAGCAGAAACATCTGAACTATGAAGTGTGAATAAAATATTATAGGTAGGTATATATAGGTAACTGGAGATGTGCGTACCTTGACATGAAAAGTGCACAGCAGTGTTCGGAAAACGGATGACGCATTTCGTCTTAATTAATTCGTGTAGGCTGTTTAGCATACAAATGTTTATAAAAAAGTCGCTCTGCTGTTGCCTGTTCGGTAGGTTACAAATGAGTCACTGTATAATGGATGGTATTAAATTTGAATTCAATGATGTAATATGTATAAAATATATTATATACTTATCTATGGTATTAAAAAAAAAATTGTACCTATAATAAATTCCAAATTAATCATATCACAATATCCATTAGGTACTTATAACGCGTTACCTATACATCAATAACAAACCCTGATTCTATCATAGATATATAATAGCGTACTTTAGAAGTTTCAAGTATACCCACGAATAAGAATATACAATCACAACAAAATAACTAAAACAGTTATTCTAGGTTTTTTATCATGTAATTTCGTCCAAATTTGAACTTAAAATGACTACCTATAATTCTGCATTTTTTAGATTGTTTGGTAATAGAATTAACTACTTACATGGAATCTTGTTTTAAATTTTCAATCCTTAGATATAAAAGTTGAACATTTTATACATTTTTAACTACAAAATAATTATTCAATTTTAAATTTGATAAATTTTGTCAAAATTTGATATTTAAATCCCTATGCCTATACCACTGGGTATCTTCCCTAATCTAACTAAACATATCATATTTTTACCTTTCTTATATCAAACCTACTTATTGTACAAAAAGCATGTATAGATTGTAGATTTCTTCAAATAAAAAAAAAAAAAAAAAAAAAAAAAAAAAAAAAAAAAAATCCCTATAAAAAAAAATTGTGCCTATGTATTTTTAATATTTTCCAACCGATATTGTAACAATATATCAGGAGCCTTGTATAAAATTTTTACACTTTTTGGCCCAACCGGTAAAACTTTATTGATATTTATAGAAAAAAAACTAAAATAATTGAAAGCTGAAAATGTCCGTTAATAGCTCAAAAAGAGTCAAAATATTTTCAAAATTGTATGGTGTATAGTAAATGCTAATATAAACATTTAGTGAAATTTCCATGTATGTACAGTTATTCGTTTTTGAATTACAACAAAATAAGGAAATCGCTACATGAGAAATCGAGTGAATATCCAATGTTGTAAAAATTTGATGTTCAAACCCTCATAAAAATTTAATTTGACTTTTATATAGACATTTTTTTTTTGATAAAGGTATATAATCTTATAAGGAATCTTGTGTTACATTTTAAAATCTTAGATTTAAAAAGAAAAATTTGTACGAATTCTTAACTCAAAATAATTTGCTAATTTTCGTGATTTTTCCATATTTTGTCAATTTTTGAACTTATTAAATGCTAAAAAAAAACCGTGACTAAGGATTTTTAATATTTTTCATCTGCCTTTGAAACAATATACTAGGAGCCTTCTATTAAATTTTCAAGATTTTTTAATCAACTAATAAAATTATATTGATATTTTTAGAATGAAAACTAAAAAAAAAAATGGAAAATGAAAATGTCCTTAAACAGTTCAAAATAAATCAAAATATTTTGAAAATGTTATCGTGTATAGAAAATTCAAATATAAACAACCAGTGAAAATTTCATGTATCTATGGTCATTTTTTTTAAAGTTACGCCAAAAACCAAATTCAATTTTGTCAAAAACCGATTTTGCGTAAAAATTCCCATTTTTCCTTAATTTTTATGTTGTTTTTCCCGGCGCTTGTGAAAACTAAAGGGAATTTTAAATTTTGACCTCCCCAATACACCAACGATATTCATTTTCCAATCGAACAAGATACTGAAGTTGAAAATCGAATTCATTATTTCGACTACTTATCGTGTACACAGACACAAAAATAAAAAAAAATATAAAAACACACATCATTGTAAAGTCAATACATTCATCGTTCCACTCAGAATCTAAAATAGATACACGCGTTATCCATAAATCATAATATACGTAGTATATAGTAGTATTGCGATTATTCTGGGCCAAGACTCAGATGGTTCCATTTCCATATATATAATACATGTATTATATTTAAGTATTTATATTATCTATGTGTGGCCCCGACCGTATATATAATAGTTCCTCCGCTATATATGGACGTAACTGCATAGTATGTCTTCACGACAAATAGGTACAACTCAAACCTGTTTGTTCTGTATCTATACCAATACCATAAATATATTTTTGTAATTTTGTATATGATATAATATAATATACCTACAATAAACATAGTTTTTAAATTAATATTAATATGACTTACACCCAAACCCGGATTAAGGTTTAATTGGGTCCCTGGACACCATACACTTATAGTGCCTTTAAATTATAACTTCAAAAAATTGAATTCCTATATTTTTACGACTGTATACAATCATATAATTTTGTAGTATATTACCACGTCAATCATTGATGATAAAGACTATCATCTATGCGTACGATGTAGTTCACAACTCCCATTTTATAAACTTCATCATATAGAATATCAATTTTATATTTATTATAATTTAGTAATTTTTCGTGATATAAAATTAAGAACATTTTTATTTTATAATTACCACTTACTAAAATTATCAAATTTTTTTGAAAACTGTTTTTAACGTATTAAAAAAATAAATATTTTGGAGATAAAAATCAATGGGCCCTTGGACCATGTCCCTCTTAAATCCTCTTAATCCGGGCTTGCCTACACCTAATTAGAATAAATTGTTCTAGACTTCTGAGCATGAATATTTTCAACCATACAGGAAAGGAATATTATTGTAGTATGACTAGTATGGTCCATCTATAAAGCTCCTCTTGGTTACTACGTTGTATACTTAATAGTAAATACTAAATTGTTAATATTGAAGGAAAGTTGACAGTTTAACACTTCCTTTCTTACCACTCAATCAACATTTGGAAATTTATATTTCAGTTTTCAAATTTTTCGTTACATATTTAATTTTTTTCTGTAATTTAAGTAGATATAATATATATTATATTATATTATATTATGTATATATGTATTTATGTTTCACCATAATATTTAAAACATCATTTAAGGCCAAATTGTGTTTGTATTTTTCAGATCTATCTACATGTCAACTTCTTTTCTTATTCTCAATACTGGTGGTAAACTAAATGAAAATATTTATAAATAATAAATAAATAATTATGTATTTATTAGCAGTACTTATCATGTATTTATGTGTATAAAAAATATTATTAATTTGATAGTCATGTTTATAAATTATATTAATCATAATTAATGTTATAATCTGTTTAGAATGTAGTATTAGCTGGTGATATGATGAGAAAATCGATTGTATACGACAAAAAAACACCTAATGTATTTTATTGTCCATTAAATAAACCTACTGGTAAATGCGTAATAAAAGTTATTGTTTTTGTCTTCAAGTGTATATAATTAGAAATACAATTCTAGGTTTTGATAAATTGTTTGTACATTCAAGACCATTAAAAAAATTATGCGAATTTGATGGAAAACCTTTACCCGAAGACTACAAATCCGATTGCTTTCAAGACGTCGATGAAACAGAATATGCTTGCAAGGAAAAATATAGAATCATGGTAAGACGAAATTATTAATACAAATATCGGTGTTTATTATGTATAGGTATTATGATAAAAGTAAAAAATGTGATGTTTATATACTTGTCCAATAATACATTTTATATACAAAATAGTGTATATAGATTTTATAGGTACAATGGTACATATTATTAGTTACCTATTAATTATTATAATATTATGTATTACGTTTTTATTAATAATATTAATGATGTAATTTAATAAATATTTGCTACAGAATGGAGAACAACATTATTAACTAGGTACATTGAAACTTAATCATTAAAATTATATTAATATATGTATATAACTTTCAGAAGAGATTGTCGAAGAAACAACTGGATAGTTTATTTGGAAATAACGACTAGAATAACTCTAACAAAATAACGCTCTGTAATGTAAGAGGTTGTATAATCCTACTGAAATATACATTTAATTTTTGCGAATAACATATTTTATATATATTTTGCATGTTAACTAAGATAAATCATTAATTTATTTTACTATGCTTAATGCTTGTTATAATAAAATATTCTACATTTATATATTATATATAGCCTTGTATGGGTGTGGCTTGAGGTGCGGCACATATTATTATTTAAATGTAGGTACCTATGGTAACCTATTATATTCCTTGCAACTTCCAGGTGTCGGTCAATATAGGTACACATCAATAATCAATATAAATTATAAATCTTTATATATTATCTATTAATAATTTACGCATTGTTACTTCAATATGCTTTAAAAATAAACATAATAATTAGAGTTACATGTTTATTATTAGTTTATAATCCGAAATACATTTGTTAAAATATGTAAGTAATAGCAAGGTCACACTAGAAAAAAATATTCTGAGAGGAGGGTTAGGAAATATTACTATAAAAAAACGGATTTTTAATTTCTATGTTTACGGAATCCGATAAAGTTAAAGGGGAAAGTTCATCCTCTAAACCCTAACAGTTATAAAGATCCTTATCAAAATTTTAGAAACAGAGTAATACGTCTTATAGATATGTATAATGTATTAATGTATTATATATTTATCTATTCTATTATATACAATTGTAAGGGTTTTCTACGACCGCTCTAACCGAGAAAACTACTGAACCGATCGGACTGATTCTTTTTTTGTTGTGTTCGTAATTGTGTGTAGATTGACCTCTGGGAACAAGATAGACCAATTTAAAAATTGCTAAATTAGGTCTTTGTACGGTTAGGTTAGGATTTTATATTAATCCACCGTAGGTATAATTAAGTGAAAACGATAAACTTGGTATAACTTTGATACTCTAGAGTTAAATCTTACACTTACGACTTACGTACAAACAGCACGGGGTCCGATAATAATATACCTACTGCTACGAATCAGAATTTTTATTCCGGGCAACGGAAAAGTTAAGATAAGTTTTGAACACCATACACCGAATATTAAATAGCGAATTCACTTAAGTTTGAGTAATATAGAGTTGGTACATTTTACGGGCTACGAAATGTACGGGATCAGTGCTATTTTTAATAAAAATATATTTATCATTTTAATACCGCTAGAAACATTTCAATACGTTTCCATAAACCTTTTTTATATTTACTTGCCGATCACATAGTTATGACTAAAGGTACACTCATAGTGACATACTGATATATACCTAGTCCTAGTGAGTAGTGGTAAAGTATTAAAGTAGGTAGGTACCTACTTATACTATTTAAGTAGGTATATAACTTACTCGACGTCTCGACCTACTATTGTTTAAATGAAATACCTACCTATTAAATAAGGATTATTGTTTGTATTTTATATTATTATTCAGTACATATACCTACCTTATAAACAATTAAGAACTAATATTATAATTGAAAGGTTATTATAAAAAATAAAGGTATTCATATCAGAGAATATTATACCTACTTATAATTTTGTAATTTAATTTAAACATTTTACCCAAATAATTTGTACATAAATATTAAAAAATAATAATTATTATCCGTTCTAAAATAGTCTTCTAGCAGATGCATCTATCTTCTTTAGCTTATAAAATTAGTATTTTTACTTTTTACTGGTATCTACACGATTTAAAATCTAATTAATATAATTATACATTTTCAGATGCGTCTTCACCCACCTGGTACGGATGACGACAAAGAGAGTACAAAATGGGAAAAAGCTTATAAAAAAGTTGTTAGAAAACGTAAGAGACAACAATCACAATAGATTACATGGTCGTGAGGATAAATATTAAATAATTAACGAAATACATATAAATAGTTACTAGATACCTAGTTTATAGTAATATGTAACAGCATTGAGTAGGTACCTATATATTAAACAATATATTATACTCAATGGTAATAGCCGATAGGTATTAGGTAATAAACAATAATATATATTATTTACCATAGATTACAAGTAGTCCTATGTATAAAAATTTGGTGCTGTTAATAATCAATGATTAAACTAATTTTTTAGTGTAGTAATAATGTTATTTATATAATATTATAATCAGTTAACAGTTTTAATGTGGTTGTAACTCTTAATGTTTTTTACTTTTTATATATTTCAAATACAATACATTTTATAAAAAAATAAAAACAATACCTAATGAAACTATTATGAATATTTATTTATAATATGTATGCAGATAATAAACTTATTGATATTTTATTACCAAGCATCCATAAATTCCACTGAAAATTGAATATTTCGAAATAATACTCTTTAAGTTTCACTATCCGTCAATTAGAAAGAAACTGTACACACACATTTAAAAAGTTGCCAATTGCTATTATAGAACTTTCAGTGGGTACCTAGGTAGCTTTCCATAAAAAGGACTAGGTACATTTCTACAATCACACGCATAATTTTCAGCGATACTGATCAACAATGTTTTCCATCCCTGATTTTAACACAAACCATTACAGAGACCCACTTGTCACCAGGTCACTTACTCTATAGCAGAGCAACACCCACTTGCCCACCTTTTTTTATTACATGTAAGGTGTAGGTAACTAATTGCAATCAGAAATAAACGAATATACTGAAATGATTTCAATGTTATTAATATAGGGTAACTGGTAAGCCACCCACAAATAACTTGTTTAATCTATTATTTAAACCTTCCTAGAACCCGTAAAAATCTGTGAAGTATTTTTTAAATATATAAACATTATTACCTCAACCATACTACTTGTCTATACTCTTAAATATAATAGCAGCTGTTAGTGCCTGTTACTCAATAGTCAATACTATATTTATATAGAACAGTTGCGTAGTTAGGAATTTGGTTTGGGGGGGGGGATATACGTTTTTAGCAAACATTAATGGTCATTACCAATAATTTGATCAAAATATTAGCAGTAAAAAAAAAGTTTTGGGGGGGGATCTATCTCCCTACCCCCCCCAATTACGCCCCTGATGTATAATAGCAATTAACCTAAATGACAAAATAAAATTCAATAAAGAAGATTATACTAAAAAAAAACTCAACACCCCCCACAGCCTATAAAAAATACTACCACCTAATTCGATCGACAATCACAGTAAAAATATATATACAGACATAATATAATATAAGATATAGCATATAGGATAGAATTGGCGCCACTATCAGCTGAAATGACATAGAAATTAAAAAACGGATCCAAACTTTTTTTGCACACCATATGGCTGCTTTGGACTATGGTAAATTCGGTTAATTCAATTCAGTAAATCAATATATCAGCAGTTCAGAAAATTAGAAGTAAAAACTCTAATTTCAATTGGCTTTTTTCATCATTTTCCATAAACCTATTATATTTGTTGTGTTAACTTGGTATAGATTGTATATATTATTAACTAAAAAAAATATTATATATTATAATTATTAATTAGATACAATAGGTACCAATTACTTTGATAGATGTATAGATTTTATATAAATTATACTACACAAACTGATCATAGGACATGTTAAACATTGTGCAAATTTTCAATTTCATCTTTCATCTAGATCTATGAGACTATTGCTGAGTTACATACAAAATTGATAAAACTAATGGACCAATCAAAAATCATAGACCACAAATCATTTTTTAGGGACCATTAGCTTCCTATTTGCTATTGATTTATTAAATTATGCTTGGTGACTGGTGAGTATTTATACTATACATACATATGACTTATATGAGTATTTAGTTATTATTCTTACTACAGACTACAGAGATAGGTAAAAGATAAGATAATAAGATAAAATAGGTAAGATATGAAGTAAAAAATGGTAATGAACACATACGTTTTTATAATATCAATGATAAAAAATAAATTATTAATTAAAATAGGAATATAATATGATCGTATATGATATACAGAGTGATTTATGGAACACTCGTTACTTAATCTGAGAATTATACAATGTTTTTTTAAAATTTAGAACCTATTAAAAATATTTGAATTTTGATAAATTATAGAATAGTATACTGTTCGAAGTTGAAAACAATGTATAATGCTTGAATAAGATATTGCCTATACTCTGTCTTTTAGGTTAGATTTATAAGATTAACCTCAGGTTTTTATCATCAGCTATTAATTCTAACGTTTGGAAGTGGCGGAAAAATTGTTTTACTATGTACATTTATGCAAAATACAAGCTAGACAGCTGTTAGTAAAATAAAGTGACAATTCCAAGAATGCGGCACTCTGTATACATTACACACACCCATTTCCACAACCGTGCGCAAAAGCCGGTGACTTGAGGTTACTCTTATATGAGACAGAGTATATCCAAATAGTTCATAGTAAAAAATCACCCTGAATATTATGTAAATGTAGAAATTGTGGAATAATAATTGGAATTATTTTGAATACAGGCAATAAAGGTGAGAAACTCATTTTAAGTAAATCTTTAGCATAAAAGAGTGATATTGCCATTATCGGCACCAAGTAATAGTAATTGATTAAGACTCAGTACAGACATTGTAGTTAAGACTCCTTTAAACGTGTCAGCTCTTATTTTAGTAGAAGAAAATGATGCTTCACTGGTAAATCCTGTATGAATTCCTATACGATTGGCTGTAGTACCAGAAATAAGTTCATTTCTATGAAGGCCTAAGCAATGGACTGGTTCAGGTGACCCTCTGTAAAAGAAAAATAACAGTTACAACATTTCATACATTGAACATTATTTGAATATATTATTATTTACTACCTCATATTATAAATCAGATTGCCGTTTGAAACATTCCAAACAGACAATGATTGGTCAAGAGATGAACTGACAACTGTATTGGAATCTACAGCCAACAATTGTAATACCTAGGAGATGAAACTATTAATAAAGAACAAATTTATATTTTTAGTCCTACATTACTTCTCCCTCGTGAGCTTTCCAATTGGCCAAAGCCTGGCCAGTTCGCAAGTCAATAACAGTCAAATAACCAGATGACTGACCAACAGCAACCCAGTGAGCATTAGTGGGTACAGCAATACTCCTTATGAGACCAGTGGCATTGACAGATATCTAAAAGAGCAATGAGCAAAGAGTAATTACACATACAAGCTTATAAAATATTGTGGTTCTCACTTTAAGTTCTGCCACAGACTTTCCATTCCTAGGATCAATAGAATGCAGGGTTGGTTGAGTAGAGGCAGCTAATATATTTGGATGAGGAGTGGGTAGACATTTAAGAATATTAACAGGTATACCATTCATTGAACTCAAGAGACGTCCACCACACCAAGGATCCCAAACATGTATTGAAGAATCACAGGATGCGACCATTCTAAATTTTTCCAAATATGTAGCTGACAATACAGATTTACGGTGTCTAGAATAAGTGTATTGACACTGTGATACACCATTTCCGTCACCCTAGAAAAATTATTAGTAAAATATTTACTTAATAAATACAGTAAATTAATTCTTACTTGATTTCTTAAAGACCAGAGTTTAACAGTCTTGTCACGGCTAGAGCTTATAAAGCTATTTTCATTATCAAGTACACTTAAAGACTTTACAGTTGATTGATGACCACTAAATGTTTGTAACTTGATTTGTTTAAAATTAAACCAAGTATCACGACTATTACGGCCTATTTCATGTTCCCAATATGCTAACCAGTTTCCTCTTAAATGTCTATTTAAAAATAAATATTAATGATATTTTTTTAAATTTAATTTATAGTTATAAGTTATAACTGATTTTAAACAAAAATATTTGATTAATATTTTACTTTTAAACTTGTTAAAGATTATTAGGACATAACACTTTCAGATATTATAAAAGTAGTACTAGTAGTTTATCTTTTTATTTTTATTATTAATATAAAATATTTAAAATATTTATTTGTACCTGGAGGATTCCACTATAGTCTTAGCATCTTCAGCTACTTCTATTTCTTCATCCTAAAATTTAAATATTATATTATATAAGCTATATATAAATACATAAATAAATGACTGGAGGAAATTAAAAACTGTTGTGATATCTAGATACATAATAATAATAAATAAATAAATAGGCAAATATTGAAACTTGTGCATGATTTTAAATCAATTATTTAGATTTTTTACATTACCTGTAAATGTATTTTATTGCCCTTGAGAGTAAGATGAGTTCCAAGCTGTTCTTCAAAATTAATAGTACTATCATTGTAATCTACCCAAAAATAATAATAGTAATTTAGACTTATCAAAATGTATAAATAAATATTTGATAATATACAGTACAATTCTTTTACACACCAATATTTGCGTAACCAGAATATACTCTTTCTTCTTTATATGTGACACACAATTCCTTAATGTAATTCCAATTGATCAATGTCCTCTGCATAAATAATTCTCCATAGTATTTTAAAAATAAAGTATAGGAATGATAAGCTAATTGTGGCGTTAAAACCTGACACAATTCTTCCATAGCCTAAATTAAAATTATCATAATGTTTGTTTATGCAAGAAAAATTGTTAATTACTCACTTTAGTTTTGACATTTGGCTTATCACCACTAATTGTAGAAGGAGAGTCCCCGGAATCACTGTTATTTAACTCAATAGTTTGACTTCTATACATAAACACAGAAAATTAAAATTAAAATTTACTCAAGATTACCATGTATGAAGTATGATGTAATATTTATACCTTGGATTGGTATCAGCCATACTGAGTGGATCAAAATGTCTCAATTTATCAAATACCAAGAACAATCTTTGTATGGTTTTTGAAATTAGATGTCCTTGTTT